CCCCCCCCCTATCTCATCCAAACATCTCCATGGACACAAAGAGATAGCTTCACCTCAATATTCACACCAACGTAATGTTACCAGTGCCAGATCTGGACATTAAGTAGAACCCATGAAAGCAAAATCACTGTGTATGCGAAATGAAAGGTCTCCACAAAACCCTTAACATCACAAGACAAGACAGGCAGAGAAATGAAGAAGTTTAGTAAGACCAGCTACCGGCATTGAGTCCTGCCTACATTACATAGAAAGACAGAGAATAAAATGGTTCGGCCACCTGTTACGTGCATGTCACCTGGCCAGCCAGCCTCGAGAGCTTACAACATCAAGCATTCAGGCTATAAAGGAAGATGAAAGCCACGGAAAAGGTGGATCGAGGGTGTCAAGGAAACCCTGAGAAAACATAAATGTCTCAACTGAAAGAGCTGTGGAGCTGGCCTACCATAGAAACTTGCATCTCCCCTCAACGCTTAACGGCAACAGAGAATGAAAATGTAAAGTAAAAAGTAAAGAGTAAGAAAATAACCTTTGTTGCTGAAATTTATGTTGGCAAACTATGGAATTAAAGGAAGATTAAAGAACCAATCCTGAAGGCAGACACAACCTATGTTTAGTTTCCAAGTTTAGTTAAGTACTGGAGTTTTACGGTGCTTGCAAAACTGAATAAAGGGTAATGAGTGGGCGAAACACAAGTTTGCATCGTAATTAAATTTTCAAATTATTCTGACTTTAATTCTGTAAGAGCGCTCCTTCATCTCATGGGATGGAATGTTTGAAGCAGATCAAACTATTACATTAAAAAATATAGAGATCTACATCAATGTCGGTTGTCCGGGAGAGGGAAGTGGGGGCATCATGTAGGCCTACTATTGTATGGATAACTGTAGAAATTATTTGTACAATTGTGTAGCAATTGTGTGTACAATGTTGTAGGGATAACTAGACAGAGTTGTTTGCACAATTCTATGGCACAATGTTGTAGGGATAACTAGACAGAGTTGTTCACACAATTGTACGGATTACCACTCCGAATTTAAAGTTGTGTTCGCCTGAACGTAATTGGCCATGACCTGGTGCCTCTCCACTAAAGAAAAACGGAAAGGCCCCATGGCGAGGCGGAGTCCTTGGTTTTTTACGGGGTCTAACATTTTCAAGATGTGGAGTCTAGCCAATCGATAGACTTGACAGCCGCAGTCAAGCCTGAATCGGACAAGGGAATAGTAAAAGTAGAGAAGGTATTTTTTAGTCCGAAGTGGCTATTCGGATTCAAATTCCAGTGCGCGTGCGCAATCACCGGTTGTACCTTAAAAGAGGTCTAACTTGAGTCCGAATAGTCTCCCGTTGCTATTCGGACTTTAAACTACTGGTAGGCTTATTTACACTGCGTTTCACGACTTCAAAGGGATCAAAACATAAAATTAATAATCAGTCCTTATAAGACAGCCCCCCCCCCCCCCTTTTCTCTCTCTCTCTCTTACTTCCTCTCTCTCTTTCTCTTTCTTTCTCCATCTTACTTCCCCAGGCCCACCCCACCACCGTCACCCCTTTTTTTGCATATGAGCCATTGCCAAAATGTGGGAAAAATCACACACATCTCACATTAGTGTGCATAAAATGTGATGCATCAGTATTTATTCCTCCAAAACTTATACACATGTCAAATATAGGATGTAGAACCTGCATTAGCAGTTTCAGACCCCATGTCAGCTTTACAATCTTGAGTTTGTAAATTTTTGGTAAAAAATGTTAGTTTTTTAGTGATTCCTGGACTGTCATTTTGAGCACACCAATGCAAACTTCCAAGAATGTTCAAAATGTAGTATTTTTGGGTGGGTTTTTTTTACGTGTGCTTTGATCCTATGCTATTTTGTCATCGAGAAAGGTTAACTTGCTCAAGAAATCGGTTTATTTGTTTGCAAATAAACGAACAATTCGGATCACTTGTGCGTCAGTCGTGTCGTCATGGACTAGGTCACTAGGTGTTTCAGAAAACACCATTATTTTTCAGTAGAATCACCGTAGGTGGTTAAATCTTTTTGCTTTTCGTCGTTTATTCAATACTTCAAAAGCTGTGATGCGCGAAAAGAACATCGTGTTCCTAGATATACGATTTCGGTCAGCTGTTTAACATTCGCCGTGATTGGCGTCACTTTGCGACGTACCAGAAGTCCTAATTTTAGCCTACTTTTGTTTTGAACAGATCATCAACAGTGCCCGCATATAATTATTTTCTTGGGTGACTTCCCCTTACCCGCTTCCCCAGAACAGCGGAGGCAACGGGGGAAAGAGAAAAACTAAAGTAGTCATTGCCGTCAGCGTCCGGTGACGCACAAGAATCTTACGTTGGAGGAGACGTAGAGGACTGTTTTGAGTGTTTTTAGGCTACCTTTGAATATTTTAGACAAACTGCGGTGTTTACATTGGATTCCTGGAACAAGAGTGTGATGTGTGAACAAACTTCGAGAGATGGGTCATTTCTGTGGTTATAGATTTAGCTTTTGTGCTTAGTGATGACGTTTGGGGTGTTGTCATGCAGCCGTACAAGACTGACTGACGTACTAAAAATTACACTGTCCTAAGAGCAAACATTTTTTAAATCATGTGTGCTCTTTTTACTCAA